TTTGAACTGGCTCTAAGAAAAGTAATGGAGCCATGAAAACACCACATTTAAACATTGGCTGAACACTGAAAAATGATTCAGTTTTTGTTTAAATATTTTATTGACATTTGATCAGTATTGTGAATAGCCAGAGTTAAGAATAAAAAGGCTGTTTTTTTTTTGTGGAGCAGACCATTTTTTTTAATATACCATATTAAAACAATTGCATGATTTGCCTGACGTTGTGGAAAAAAAAACTTTTAATTTCTTCAGTGAGTCATTGGCTGTGATTGAGAGGTTACTGTTCTCGGAGAGAAGCAATATTGTTTCCTTGGTAGCTGACAGCTAAGCTGGTGGTGACTCAGAAGAAAAAGTAAATTGTCCTCTCACTTAAGCAATATTACTCCTTGTTTGTAATATCTTGTTACTGTACTTGTCCAGATTGTAATATTCAAACTTATATTTTGAATTTTACTTTTCTGCTCCTTAAACACCTCCATACGGTAACTACAAGATTCAACCACCTTGATCATGTCCTTTAGGTACTGCCACTATCGCATCCCAGTGAAGATTTTAATGAGTTTGTGTTAATTGACTTTTTCTTCCAGATTAATAAGCTTCCCATGTAAATGAGATGAATCAAACAACAGAAGAAAATAACAGTTACCCCTCCTGCTCTGACTTAAATAGATGTTAAATATCAGCTGTGTAATTTCTGATCATGATCAAAGAGTTGGACAATAATTTAATGTACACCATTTATATTAAATTTATATGCTGTGTTTCAACTCAATTATTCTGTCAAACTCAGTTTACAGCAGACATTTCAATATTTTTTCCTTGCTTCTGTAGGAATGTGTTTTATGTTTTTATTTGGAAGGAATATTTTCTTCACACATAAGACCTTTTTTATCAGTTTCCCAGAGAGATATATTAAACAAATAAAATGGGTCCATCTGTTCTGTGCTCGTTTGAGAAGCTCCTTGTTAGTTTTTGACATTTCACACAAACTATCCGATCTTCTCTGACTCTTAAACGATGCAATGACATCACGCTGCTGAAATATGTAGCTTCAGTTTGGGTTCTCTGCTGCTACAAACATTAACAGTAATGCGTCTAAATGCACTGCTTACAGGAAGGGAAAAGTTTAATTGGAATTGTTGCTAACGGTGTAACTGCTGGCTTACTGACGCGATGTATTCCCAGTAGTGTTCAATAACACAGCTGTCAGTTAAGTCTCTCCTACACGGCCCACTTGTCAGAGAGAATTAATAGCACATAGTGGCTGTCGGTAAATAATTCTGCATGTTGTAATCAATACATTAAAAACCAGCTCTTCCTTGCCTCTGTTCCTGTAACTATGCAATGCTGGCTTTCATCACAGAGGCAGTTGTAAAGCAAATGGGAATGTGTGGCAATCTCTGATCACCCGATGACCTGTTTTGAGTTTCAGCAAGAGGATTCCCGGAAAAGGTCGATATTGCAGGGGGAGATGATCAGTTTACTTTTTTGTTTTTTTATTCAGGAACTGTGTTGGCGTGCTCAAGAGGAAGAGGAAGCTAACAGATGAGCGCTGATCCCAGCCCGTGTTGAGCAGACAACCCAGTAAGGCCAGAGCACGATGGAGATCCACACTCGTCATCTGAACGGAGACTCAGTGTTCTCACAGCGGGGCAGAGGCAATGGCAGGATCTCCTTGAGGGGTGTCTGCTGGGCGATCACAGGGGCTCTTATTTGTCAGCCACTGCACCGTCCCCTCCTTGGCTCTTTGGTCTGATCGGCTGGCTGCAAGCCTCTGTTCCGCACACGCTGACCTCCGAGTGGACAATCAATACTGATTAGGGGTGAGGGAGAACAAGCCTGGGCACAGACACTCGGCAGAGCTGGCAGGCAGAAGCGTTATGCTCTGCCAGCTGGTGCCACTCAAGCATGTCTCAGCCCTGAAACTTCTGATGATGATTAATGGCCCCTCCCAGGGTCACTGGAGCAGGCAGAGCTGTGCTGTACAGCAGGGCTTACTCTAAAACCTCCTGTTCTGGGCTTTTAAACGCATCCATATTGGCTTACGATCTGTGTATGTCTGGGTCTCTGATGTGACATTCTTTCCTGTAAGGCGTACGTTGTGTGATGAATTGCAGTTTGGCGTGAGGGATTCCTAGCAGGAGAGACCGTGGTGTAGCAGAACGTGACGTTTGAACAGACAGTAAGTCACTCAGTATGGTCCCAGGTGGGCCTGTGCTGCGGCCCCCTTGAGCAAGGTACTCCTCTCAGATTGCTCTGGTCAGTGCTCTGCTGTAGAAATAGGTCTCCAGGGCTTTCACTGTAGAATGGGAATTTGCTCCATGTGACCTATCTAGTAAAATAAGTGAAGCAATGGTGTATGTCCTGTAATACAGTGAGGTGCAAACACACATAACATCCCCACACGTCTCTCTCGTGTGCCACGTGGTACACTGGAGCAGACTGGGAGGTGTTAAAAGGCTACAAACCCAACAAGCACCCTGCCCACACACGTTCCCATCACTGTGCTCAGCACGTGTTTCTCTCCTCGGTGTCCTCTACAGCTCAAAGATGCCACGGTACTTTCTGAAAGTAGTGGGGTGTTAACCGTGGTGCCGTGGCTCAGTTCCTCTCTAGGTTTGAACCATCTGGCCTGATTTGTGGGGTGCAGCAGGGCTGCTGTGTGTCACCCGGGGGGCTGCACCCCAGTGTGGGGTTCAAGGGTTGCCTCTCACATGAAGAGCACTTTGGGATCCTTTTGGATGAAAAGCACGATATAAATGCGAGGCATTATCATTATTACACTCTAACCTTCTAACCCCTTTTAAGCGCTTCTGTGTGTTCAAGACTCCTTCCTGGCTTCTCTCCAGCATCAAATTATTTGTTCGGTCTTCAAAGCAGTTTTTATTTACATACGACTTGAAGCCCTTGAAATAATAAATCTACTGCTACTGCACTTGCTGCCAGTTGTTAACGCAAACCCTCCTTTATCTCACAGTGCTAGGCAGTGAGAACAAAGGCTCTGCTCAAAAATGTGACATTCATCAAGTTTTAACATAGCAAATATTTACCTTCAGAAACCAAAGAAAAAACGCAATTCTGTTTTTCAGCTTTTGGCAAGGAAAACAATGTAATTAACAACCGTGTACGAATACTTTTTGTTTTTTTTTTATTAAATGACTGCAGGCTAGCGAGGTCTTTAATATTTGTTTGTCAGCTTTGGCAAAAAGATTCAATACTCCTGATGAATTCAGACCTGGATGCAATCGTGTACGATATTATTTAATCTAACTTCAATAAGGTCAATTACCAAAGAGAATTTCACAAAATGTTTTGAATTCCCTTTCAAATATTCTTTGAAAATTAGAGGATGAATTAAACATTCACTCACTCCCCACCCTGTCATGCAGCTTGTTTATGTTACGTTATGTTATTTCACTGTTATTGTTATTGTGTTACTGTCTATTGTCTTATCTTCTGTTCTATTTATATACTGCACCTGAGTGACTCATGAGAAACACTTTTCGCTATACTGTGCACCTGTGTGCATATAATGACAAATAAAGTTGAATTGAATTGAATTTATACACAGCCCATGTTGCGTTTGGCAGATTTTGGTAGAACACTCACACTGCTGCATGTTCGGTAAATGCAATCATGCCTGTGTTTGCACCAGTACAATAAAATCTTCAACATCTTCAAGTGAGCTGAGGAATCCAGTTACTCTGCAGGCACTGCATTGTAAAGAATAGCTCTTGTCACCCTACGATAGCTCAATACAGACGGCTCAGCCTTTGACAGCCAAGCTCATATTTCACTAGGTAGCCTTGTTCCAACGTCACAGAGCAGTAACCCATTGAAAACCCAATCACCCTGAGAACTCCCATGATTGCCACCATCCCTGCATGATGAATAGTTGCATAGTCCTGAGCAGGGAGCAAATTTGTGCTTCATTCTCCTCTGCTATGCGGTACATTCAATTCAATTCAACTTTATTTGTGATTGTACTTACACAGGTGCATAATATCATAAAAAAAGAAGCAGGCAAGTAGGTAACAAACGCTGTCACGCTGTCCTTGAATTTGGACCAGTGTTTCACTGGCATTCACACCCAGCAGTCGAATAAATCTACAAATCTGCAGCAACAAGATATTTATTTTATCCAGCGCCGTCCGTGATGAAAACAATTCAAAACACTCATTCAAAAAAAAACATGACAAATATTAAAAGGGTAAAAATAAAAACCTCAAATTAAATTGAAACATTCTGTTTAAAACGCTGATAACGCTCTGTTTCGGACAGGAGCGTTTTTTTAAAGCGTTCAAGCAGAATGTGATTTTGACCGAGCGACTTAACTCCTGTGCAGTCTGCACCCCTCAATAGGGGTCCATACATTTTGAGAAAGGGGCAGTTTCGATAAAATGCAATGCGTTAGGGACAATACATGAATCTTTGCTGTGTCGCATTTTATTTCGAGTGTGTACATCGTGTCTTATTGCGAGTAATGAAGAGTGCTGTGTGGGGTTACCCAGCTGTGGGTGGCTGTGTTCATGACCGTGCAGGTTATCGGTTCCCCTTAATTGGATTCTAGTTATGAGCTGCTTTACTGTCGCCTCTGGACAGCACAGAGCAGAGCTCCTGTCTCGGAATGTGACCTGAAATAACATTTCCCCGCCGGTTACATTAAGGAAATAAAAGCCACGGCAGAAGACAGATGAAGCTCGTGTGAGTAGCAGGGTTATTCCAATATTTTTTTTTTTTATTAAATCCCACAGCTGATCGTTAACAACCCCTACGCAGACGCTCACACCGTAATTGTCTATTGCTGCTTTCGTCAGAGAGGAGCGAGATGCGGACTTAAGAGAGCGCAACACTGACGTCATTTATGACGCGTTTGGAGGCCGGGCTTTGTGACGTCAAACACCGCCCCTTCTTAGCCGAACCCCTTTCATTGGTTGAAGGGTCGAACGCCGCCGATGTTCATTGGCTGAGAGTTTAAATCTCCTTACAATTGGTAGATGCGCTGACACCGGCAGATTTGAAAAGTGCTTCTGAGCTCCGAGACAGTGAGCAGCTAGTTTGTGCTAAGAGTGGGCAGGTAAGACAAACTATTAGGAAAAAAAAAATACAAATTGCCAATTTTCTTGCTAGTCGTAGTACTCGTTTTTGAACCGTCGGTCAGCATGTTTTTTCGATTTGTTAAATGCCACTGTAGGTTTCGTTAATATTTTTAACGAAGGTTAAGGCACTGTTGTCTTACCCTCATGCGATATTAAATCTGATCTGGGAACGTGGAACTGATCTGTTCTCCTGGTTTAACCCCGTTAAATCTGATCTGCTTATCCAGCTTCTAACAATAACGTGGGAGCTTTTGTGTAATTGTTTAATCACTTAAGATTGAACTGCAGCCAGCTATCGTCCAGAATCGTAAAAAATGAGTCACCTTCGAAAAAAATTAAATTCTTTATTCTTGTTAGCCTACCACACTGCATCAACTGACCGTCATTTGCAAGACTTGGACAAGACGGTTATCTCCGATGATTTCATGTTTCGTTAAAGTGCCTGAAACATAAAACATTCAAAATGTTCTTCTTGTATACTCGTAATTTGGTTTATCTGTAACAGTAACTGTATGCGGTTGGATGCATCGTGAGGTCTTTAATCTCAAACAAGTTACGTTTTTTTTATGTAGGGTGTTCCTATTATTACTATTTCTATTGCTAGCGTTTAGCAGATGCTTTTATTGAAAGAGACTTGCTTTTTGAGCCCGTTAGCATACACGGGCGTTTTCTCTGAGCAATCAAAGGTACAGTACAACAGCAGTATCGCACCAGGATATGAACCCACAACCTGTATCCTGTATGCTGTATCCTCTGTGCAGCACTGCTCTGGTTTATACTTTCTCACAGAACCGCAGGTTTGATATACATTGGTTTGATATACATTGGTTTGATATACATTGGTTTGATATACATTGCTGGACAGCTCCGAACTGGAGGCTGCGATGCCGTTACCTGGACTGTAAGGTGTCCACTGTGCACTGTGCCCAGGTCTTTACTAAGGAACGAACCGGTCAGGTAGTGGTTTGCGGCTCTTGGTCAGTGAAGAGCAAGCCACCCCTCCATCCATTCGTTTTCGAACCACTTCATCCAGTTGAGGCTTGCGGGGGATCTGGAGCCAGTCCATCACAGGGCAGGTGCAGACACACACGCACTCTCCCACCAGGGCCAATTTCCACCCCGACGCCAGTTATCCTACAAGTGTGTTTTTGGACTGTGGGAGAACCCAGAGAGAATCTATGCAAACTCTGCACATATAGCACCCCAGATCTGGATTTAAACATGGGGCTCCGGCAGTGGAAGGCAGGAGTGTTGATAACTGTGCCGCCCTAAGAACACCTTTATCCATTCCTTCCTGAATACAGGTCCCACGATGCTGCCGGGAGCAGAAAATGCCGAACTGCGGTGCTGTTGCGCCGTGGAGCAGCTGAACCCCGCGGGGCAGGCCACCAAGCGGCAGGTCATCCGCAGGGCGGGGGTCACTCTGGGGCGCAACGAGTTCCAGGAGCTGGTCCTGCGCGTGGACGACGGCCGGGCCCCCCAGAGCTTCCTGCTGCGGGAGATCCAGCTCTTCACCCGCTTCGCCCGGGACGGCAAGAGCACCGTCCGGCTGGTCCCGGACAACTTACAGGTCCTGCTCTCCGACTGCCCCCCGGACCAGCTGCGCGCCTTCCTCAAGACCCTGAGCATCAAGCACCAGGCCTGGCAGCAGGCCGGCAAGCCCCTGGGGGTCCGCGCCAAGCTGCTGGCCGGCTTGCCCCGCAGTTTTGAGACCATCAGCCCCGTGCAGCTGAAGGACGTCCAGCAGGCCAGCAGGCTGCGGGAGCAGGCCGCCGCCCGGCCGGCGGCCAGGGAGCTGGGGCACAGGTCGGGCAACGGGGCCGGCTCCTTGCAGGTGAAGCGCAGGAGGCCCGAGTCGACAGACGGCAGCCCGGTGAGGGGCCCGTGGCAGGGGTCCGCGGCGCCGGGGGGGGGGGATGACCTCAGTGTTGGTGTCCACGAGTGGCAGGGGCTGTGCTCCTGCCTGATCAAGCAGCACGGTTTCAAGAGCTTGGAGCGGGAAGGGTTGTCCTGCTGGTTCTTCAGGCCAGCTGAGCTTAATTAGTTAACTAAGCTGTAACTGAACCACGAAGGAATTACCCGATGGGGAATTTTTTTGAGGCTTGTAACGCCGCTCGGACGTCTGGCTTTTTATTTTATGTAGGACATGCAGTAATCAAAAGGCCACTTTCTCCACGTTTAAATAAACACTTGGGTGAACTGAATCTCAAAGCCCGCTCCAGGACTGGGGAGCCCTGTTTTATTCCCCTATCCTGTGTGCCCCAGGTGAGAGCCCTCCATCCAGCCAAGAAGCCGATCCTGACCCTGCCTGTCGGGAGGAAGCTGTCCAAGGAGCAGTCGCTGGTTCTCAGCGCTGTCCTCAGCGGGAAAAACGTCTTCTTCACAGGCAGTGCAGGTACCGGCGCTCTGGTGAACCCTGTCTGCTGTCCCCACTTCACACGCAGAGCAGCTGAATGAGCCTGCCCAGGTCTCAGGGCTGCATCTCCTGAGATCCAGCAGTGAGGTGGACCAGACACTGTCAGATATTCTTACAAGCACCAATGAACACCTTCCAGAAATACTTCCACTAGAATGAACAAGTTTTTTAAAAAACTTGACTGTTTATGTGTCAACACATCTATCTCCATTAGTGCATATTGACCAGTGTCTGATTCACATTTCCAATTGTTCTTCAAATGTTAATTGTAGTACTTTCTCACTAGTTTATTACAGTGTACCTCAAGAAATAACATTTTTCATAGCGTCTGAATTTATCACATAAGGTGTGCCATCATGGAAAGACGTGTTTTTTGTTTTCACGTTTCTCTAAATTATTTTCTGAAGCCCCAATATGAGCTCATATTTTTTTTTTCTTTCTCAGGTACAGGAAAATCCTTCTTGTTGAAGAGGATTCTGGGATCCTTGCCCCCCAAAAGCACCTATGCCACGGCGAGCACTGGCGTGGCCGCCTGCCACATCGGCGGAACCACTCTCCACGCCTTCGCAGGTGGGGGAGGGTCTGGGGGCGGAGTCTCTCGGCCAGGCAGTGCTTCCCGAGATCGGGGGCTGGGAGATTCAGCACTGCGCTGGTACGGTACAAGACCACCTGCTGTGAGGTTTACCACTTAGGCCCAGATTACCTCCAAAATTTCATCCCCCTTGTAACCGATGGGGATGATCAGGCAGCGGGAAGATACCTCAGACCCAGTCTTTATTAACTGGCACTCGGCAGGATAGATAAAGGTTATGGACAGTGCCTCCGGAGTGCAGTTTGCAGGTGGATCGCTGTCTGGTGCTTCAGTCCCCTCCCACCTCCCAGCATGATGCTGGCTAGCTGGCTTGGCGGCTCTCCATGTTCCCTTTGTACTGGGCAGAATCCTGCATTGTGCCCAGGGTTACCACGATAGACGCCCTTGTTAAAGTTACTAATTATCTTCTTGTGGCTTCTGATTCTCTACCTGTCCTACTTCTCCTTGACCTCAGTGCTGCTTTGACACTGTTAATATCTGACCAAGTGGGAACGTGTACTGTAGATGGTGAATAGCATCAGTCCGGCTTACTGTGACCCTCGCCGGGATCTACAGTAAGCCGGTTCGCTCCCTCGGTGTCTCACCGTCTCCCCGTGCCTTCTGCTGCGTGGCAGGGATCGGCTCCGGGTCCGCCCCGCTGGAGCAGTGCCTGGAGCTGGCCCAGCGGCCGGGGGTCCTGCAGCACTGGACCAGCTGTCGCCATCTCATCATCGACGAGGTCTCCATGGTGGAAGGGGAGCTCTTCGACAAGCTGGAGGCCATAGCCAGGTACCTCGGTCCGCGCCAGGCTTAGGGGTCACTCGTGCTTCTATTATTGCCGAACACGCAGTGGTTACTTCCACGCTGGAGAAACTCAAAAGAACACGCAGTGCATCGCTTGAAGAAGGCGGAGAGGGGAGTGAATATTCACTTCTTCCTTTGCAGCCTACACACACTGACAGAGCTCCCCACTGGAGCCCTACAATGCGTCATTACATTGAGGCAGCCAATCCAGTTTTATGGAACTTATCGGCTGTAGGAGTTCATCAGTGTCTGGTTTCACAAGCATCGGAGTCTTTTTGAGAAATGTCTCGTTCCTTTGTGTTGAAATAAGCCTCCGGGCTGGCGAATCGTTGGATCAAGCTGCTGTGTGATGGGCTCTTTCCATGAGCAGACTGTTCACGTTCTCCCTGGCTCTTGTGTGGGCGTCTAGGTCCATCCGGAGGTCACCAGAGCCCTTTGGAGGGATCCAGCTGATCGCGTGTGGAGACTTCCTGCAGCTTCCTCCTGTCACCAAAGGCAAGGTGAAGCCCAAGTTCTGCTTCCAGGTGAGTAGCCTATGGGTAAGACGGCAGGAAGTGGTCTTGCCATGGTTTGCATACTCTAGAGTTTCACAGGGATTTTAAACAGGGCGACTCCTTCTGGATCTGTCGGAGAATGGATCTGTATTGATTTCCTTTACTCTGGATCTTTATTATTTAAAAGCATCTTGCCATGAGGTCCGTCGATCTCCCATCTCGATGTGACGCTCTGGACTAGAAGCCAGTGAAACCCGACATGAGCAAGACTGGTTCTCCAGCCACTACAGCTAAAACGTTTTCATGGCGTGCCGCGGTTTGAAGGTGGAGCTTGAGAGGAAAGAAATATCGGAAACCAGAAATGATTTTGGTTTCAGGCAAGAAGCTGGAGGAAGTGTTTCCACCTGAACATGGAGCTGACTGAAGTGCGGAGACAGACGGACAAGACTTTCATCTCTTTGCTGCAGGCTGTGAGAGTTGGCAAGTAAGTGCGGAGGAGGGATCTTAATGGTTTATCCAAGTATATAAAGGCTATACTTTCTACAGAGAAACGGCCAGATTCCATGACGCATAGTCCCATCTTTCTTTGAGAATGGGTAAATGCTTTTCCAGCTTTGACTTCGACCTGTTGTAATATTTCACTTTTTTAAGTTTATTTCACTTTAAGTTCTGTTGAATCTTTTACGATGGTTGTCTTCAATCTTCTGGAGGTGCGGTCGTTTTTGTCTGCATCAAACGTACTGTATGCACTGCGTATGGCAGTCGTTCTCTAGTCCTGGAGATTGGAGAGTGTGATGAGAAGCTGTCTGCGGAACTGCATTAATCTGTTTCGGATTACTGGGTTCATGAAAAGCGGGCGTAGTGGTTAACCCTTTCGTCCAACAGATATTGGAATACAGACTCCCTCTCTATGCGTTTCATGTGCTGCAGATGTTTTTAAACAACACAAAATTCCATTATTAGTCTCTTTCCCCCTGTCATGACAGGTTCAGAAGAAACTCAGTTTTGGGCTCTTTCAACTGGGAAGTTACTTCCTGTTAATACTGCAACAAGAAGCTTTGGCTTGTGATGCATTCGTGCTGGACTAATGTTTTATTGAAATCGCATCCTCCCTTTCCTTCATAGTTTTTCACCCTTTCAATACGTTACCTGTGAAACATTAGGATTCCTCAAGTTCATTTACTTGAAAATCATTTTTCACCCCTTTTCCTTAAAATAAAAACACAACTTCAATTAACAATAGCCTCAAAACTCTCCTTAGCTTGCTTGCTCGCCAGGGCTTGCACGTCAAAACGGTCGGGCATCTAGGTTAGATTATTCTAGCTCTCCTGCATATTGATGGAACTTTAATTACATTACAGCTCCAAGCAGAAATCGATTCCAGAAAGGGCTAATGGAAAATTAAGTGCCGAATCAGGACTGGGAATAAGTTGCACTTCTTTCATGCAGAACTGCCAAAGCTAGGCTGTAGTTGTTTATACAATAGGCTTTCAGGAAATGGAATGGCTTTCTTAGGTTCTTTTAATCAATAATAACTAGGAAATGACCAGCACTGCTCACTTCTCATCTTTATATACCTTCTCTCCCAAGCCAGTAGAGACAAGATACAGACCATTCTCTTGACACTAGGGCAAGATGGGGGGGGGGTCTTAATATTTTGGCCGGTGAGTGTGTATATATACTCTTTAAAGAAACTAAGTTACAGGAATGATTTCTTCTCTTTGCCTCAGGGTGACCGAGGAAGTCACAGCCCAGTTGATGAACACTGCCTACCACCGTATCGAAAGGGATGGTATCCTAGCAACTAGGCTATGCACACACAAAGATGATGTAGAACTGACCAATGAGACAAAACTCCAGCAGTTACCAGGTAGGTTTGGGCAACTTTGCCAGATGGCATTGATTCTTTTTTTTTTTTTTTAAGTCCTCAGTCGCTGCTGTGTCAACTTCTGTCTGTGAGATGCGATGTTAATGACTAACGTAGCCTCCAGTGTGGAACCAACGGCCTAGAGTACATCCTGGACCTTTCCCCTGTCATAACGGCCATCGCGCAGAGCCCAGAAGAGATGAAGGTGTATTATTGTGCTTGAAAAGCCATGGTGATCTGCAGAATTGAGATGCACAGAGTTCCTGTGTGATCCTTTCAGCTGATGAACCACTTGAGCTGTAACAGATGAGAGGAGTCTCTCCGCTGGCAGGACGGGATAAAACTGAAAGCAGGTCTCCTGGCAGCAGCTTTGGCACAAAGAGCAGGTGTTTGTGGCAGAGCAGTAATTCACAGTGATCTCTTTATCACTTCCACCCTTGTTCATTCCTGGATTGAAAGCGTGGTACCTCTCACTTAATCAGCCCCCTGGAAGATGCAAACTGCTTTTTTTCTGGCCGTGTGTCGATAATAATAATAATAATTGCTTACATTTATATAGCGCTTTTCTGGATACTCCACTCAAAGCACTTTACAGGTAATGGGGACTCCCCTCCACCACCACCAATGTGCAGCCCCACCTGGATGATGCGATGGCAGCCATAGTGTGCCAGAACGCTCCCCACACACCAGCTATCAGTGGGGAGGAGAGCAGAGTAATTAAGCCAATTTATAGAGCTGCAGCACTATAAATTGATGTGCCGTGTTGACCTCGCGCCCTCCGTTGGTGTGTCTGAACGGGCACGCCTGTACCCCCCTCCCGCTATCTGCCTCTCCTGTTCCCCTGGCAGGAGCGGTGAGAACCTTTGAGTCCGCGGACAGCGACCCCCAGCTGGCGACGCTGATCGACGCCCAGAGCCCCGTGGGGCGCGTGCTGCAGCTCAAAGTGGGGGCGCAGGTGAGGCGGCGTTTCTGGGCCGACGGCTGGAGCTGAACTCAAAGCGCCGTGCGTCTCGTACGGGGGGGAAAAATACAGCTCATTTTCCCTAGAGACGCAGAACCGAGCCTTCATCGAATTCGAAGATTTTTGTGTTAAAGTAGCCATACCAGGACTACCTCTTGATATAGAATTGATGAAACCCACTATCCCGTAGTGGGACTGGGAGACCTCGGCTCTGTATTCGGTGCCCCGGCTGCAGGCCGGAGCAGTCCTTGAGCGTCCCGTTTCTGCTGCAGGTGATGCTGACGAAGAATCTGGACGTGCAGCGAGGCCTGGTGAACGGGGCGCGGGGAGTGGTGCTGGGGTTTGAGCCTGGGAGCAAAGGTAGGCGGGGGACTCGGGGAACTGGAGGGTTTTACTGAGTCCACGCTACGTCTCTGTTGACGTAAGCTGGTGATGGAACATATTGAGATTCGTCTTTAAAACCTGGCGGTTTGGTCACCTTCACTCCACCATTGCTGAACGACCAGGCAGCGTTCTTCAGGCCAAGGGGAGCTTAAATGTTGTACCCCCGTTGTTTTTGTCATTTCCTACACCCGACGAGGCCGCTTTCCTTTGCCTTGCCTGAGCTGTAGCCCCTCTCTGCCCCCCCCAGGTCTGCCCCGCGTGCGTTTCCTGTGTGGGGTGACCGAGGTGATGAAGCAGGAGCGCTGGATGTTCAAGGCAGGAGGTGGGGTGTACCTGAGCCGTCATCAGCTGCCCCTGAAGCTGGCCTGGGCCATATCCATCCACAAGAGCCAGGTCAGCCGACCTCCTCTCTGCAGTGTGGAGAGACTCCTCCTCTTGGGGAGCCGTGTGTATAAGGAGCTCTTTATTTCTTTCTGGGTCATCTGGTCTGTGTGCAGCACGCTTGCAGAACTCTTAACTTCCTTGACCTAACTGTGTGTGGCAGTGTCTGGTGTTGGACAAACAGCAGCTTTTGTTTTTTTGCATTTAGCCGATTGGCAGCTCTTTGATCACTTGAATTGAACACACAGCGTCGTTTTGTACCTGAACTGTTGCTTTTGTCTGCAATTGCATTAATGCCCAGGAGCCAGAAAACCTGGGCATCTCAATCTGCAAAGTGAGCTGCAATTGCAGTAGTGTTTTGGAGCTGACCAATTACTCAGCCATGTCAGCCAAATGAGACACTTAGTTAAGTCATTTTGGGAGGGGGCTGTATTGTCTGTTTTCAGATCCTTAAAAATAAAAGTACAAATCAATTCCACAGTGTACAATTCCGGAACAAAAGCAACAAAATAGTCCAAGTAAAGACTGAGGGAGTATTTGCATACCTGCTACCTTACCCCAGCTAGGGAGCAGCTGTCCTGCAGGAGAGAGAGACTTCAGTCGTGAGGATTTTGTTTATTGTATGAATGTCTGTGAACCAACGACTTTGTGGACTTTGGGTGGAGGAGAGGAAACAGCTCATTGTCATGTATAACCTTGGGAGGTAGATAACAAAATGCCACACTCCAGTATAAATTATACCCCCAGATATATCCAATATGCCCTATTACATAATGTTATGGGGAATGGTTTAGGTCATGTCATTTACAGGAGGTGTTGCAGTTTACTGTGAGTCTTTGGCGTGCTTTTGGCAGAGCAAGGGTTAATCGTCTGATTGGTCTTTCACCTGTCTGCCCAGTCGCTCTTAGCTCTTTTAATTCCTGCGGTTGTGCTCGGTCAGGGAGGTTTAATACCTGCCCTTGCCTGCAGCCACTGGGAGATACGAGTGCGATTCGTTCAGCCCCTGGGAAGTCCGATCTGGGTGTGCTCTGTGACCACACTGGGCATGAGCCCTGCTTCTTGCAGATCCACTTCCTGCAAACGCTGAGCAAGCTCATGGGGTGACTAGGAAATGGAGAGGATGGGAGCAGAGTGTTTGTGACCACATCCCAGAAACCCTTCTGCTTTCCTGTAAGCCAGTGTAAATTCTCGGCACTGTTAATGCAGGGGCCTTTTATTTGAGTGGCTGATTATCCAGGCTAATCTGTGTTGTGGTGTGATTGAAGTTACTGCCATTTCAATTTGGTATCTACTGTCACTTCACAGCACTCCATCAGTGAGCTATGCTGTTAGCTTCCTAATTAAATAGGAAAGGCTAAGGTGGTGATTTTTGCTCTGCTGACAATAACAGGGTATTAAGTGCTCAGTGCCAGAACTAAGCAGACAGAAACACAACAGATGTGACTTGACATCACAGTACTAGAGTGTGTGGCTGTAAAGAGAATGAGCCTTAAAGGAGATGTAATGTATATAACCCCCCCGTATTTCAATAATAGTTCTGAAAGTCTGAGTGCAGTCTTTTGAATGGGGCATTCTATCCTTTGAAATTGGAAACTTAGGAAGGATTTTGTTATGGAATATGACCTGCGAACACAAATCTATCCTCATTATTACTCGTAAAACTTAATATTGCTACGTACTTGAAATTTCAAGCTTTTTCTTGTGGAGGATCATTTGTCCTGTTTGTAGCAGCATCTTTGGTATATATGATGTGATCTAACAGAATGACTTTCTTTTCAGTTATAAACACAGGCATAACCACTAATTGGCCTTTAGGGCTTTTGTCTGTTCCTGGCTTCAAAGAGCCATGTTGATCAGGACACTGCTGCTGTTGTGAATATTCATTAGTTGTCCTGCACTAATGAAAAGCCAAGGCAAACTCATTTTTTTTTTCTTCACTGCGCAGGACTGTCTAAACATTAGAGCTGCCTCAAGGCTTCTAAAATTAGGGAAAATAATTGCAAGCAATTCAGCAAACAATATTTGCTTGATTGCTTTGGTATGCATGCAGGTGTGCAGTGATGGTGTGAGTGATCTAATTAACTTTTTCACTTTAGTGCCATCTTCTCCAGCTTCAAATGAGAAAAAACTGGGCCTAAGCTATTAATAACCCGAATCAAAATCGCAATGAGTTAAATGTTCTCCTGGGAAAGAGAACTTCCAAAGGGAGAGAGGGAGTTTTTTTTTTTACCATGTTATATTACTGTGTGGTTAATGGACATTTTTAAACTCTAGTAGTTCAGGTGGGGAGCTGCGTCAGCAGGCGTAGGCTGCAAAGGAACAAGTAACAGGTTAATTCCATGCTGAAAAGAGAAGAAAGAAAACGCAACGTTTCGGCCGCGGAGCCTTCTTCAGGTGTAAGGGCTTCTTCACAGCTCACACCTGAAGAAGGCTCTGCGGCCGAAACGTTGCGTTTTCTTTCTTCTCTTTTCGGCATGGAATTAACCTGTTACCTGTTCATTTTAAAACCCTGCTTTTCGGTGAACACTTTTCAGAGCGGCTGTGCACGTTTCCAGTCTTGGAGGGCTGCAGTATCTGTGGATTTTCTTTCCCCCTCTGCTCTTAAAGGTGGAAATGGGAAATGTTCATCCCTGCTTTAGAGTGATCAGCACAAAAAAAAAAGCTTAATTTCTTAATTGTTTCCTCTCAGCGGCATCAATGATAATATAGCTTCCAGCATGAAAACGGGGGTGTTTGTCTGTTTTGTTCAGCCTGTCCTGAATTGGAAGTGCGTGTCGTGTACAGTTGTGGCGCTGGCGTAGGTGCTGACTGCCGGTCTGTGTGCAGGGGATGACTCTGGACTGCGTGGAGATCTCTCTGTCCCGGGTGTTCGAGAGCGGCCAGGCGTACGTGGCCCTGTCCCGCGCGCGCAGCCTGGAGGGGCTCCGGGTCATGGACTTCGACCCCCGCGTGGTCTGGGCCGACGCCCACGTGCTGCAGTTCTACAGCCGGCTGAGGAAGGAGCGCCTGCTCGCGCAGGTAGGAGGGGCGCGTTACTCCCGAGACGGGCGCCAGGCTTCTGTAGCGTCTTCCCTGGAACTGCTGGGATCCAAGGAGTTAAGGCAGGGGTAGGAGAAGGAGGCCTCCTAGCTGCAGGTTTGCAGGCTCCCTCTCACGTGATGCTCAAAGCTCCTAGTGAGCACTAAAGCCCTGTGTATTGCTAATGCAGCAGCAGTATACTAAGTATATTGGTGTCTCTTTAAGTTAGGTGGGTAGCTGCGTCAGCATGCGTAGGCTGCAAAGGAACAAGTAATAGGTTTATTCCATGCTGAAAAAAAGAAGAAAGAGTACACAACGTTTCGGCCGTGGAGCCTTCTTCAGGTGTGAAGAAGGCTGAACCACCTGAAGAAGGCTCCACGGCCGAAACGTTGTGTTCTTTCTTCTTTTTTTCAGCATGGAATAAACCTATTACTTGTTCTTTTTAAGTTGGCATTTCACATCTATGCACCATTCTCCTTGACCTTGTTTTGGGGTCTTTTCCTCCTGCATTTCCAAGCGGGAGCCTGTTCCGTATCCCTGCCGGAGCTGCTGGCCTGTGTCGGAAGCCCTCCCAGTTCGGTCACACGCCCTGCCTGCCCAGAGTTCAGTATGATGGGGGACCAGTGTTGTATAAGGCGATGGTGGCTCCAATAGTTAGTGCACTACACCTGCACCTCTTTGTCTTCCAGGCCTCGATGGATGAGTATCTGAGCAGCGAGAACAAGGAGAATCGATGACGACAACCACGGCTGTCCTGCACTTTGTACGCCACTCCTGTTCCAGGAGCTTGCAAGCCCCGATCCTGGAGAGTCGCCATCTCGCAGTACAGTACAGGCAGCCTTAAAAGAACACTGAGCAGAGATCTGGCACACGTGGTAAATTCAAATGAAGCACTTGGGAGAACAGTTAGGTCTCTGAGCTCAGAAGGAATGAGGACAAGAGGATAGGGTGGCTATCCTGGACCGGAGTTGGAGACCCATGTCCGACACTGATGAACAATATCTTTGCATTGTGTATACTGTATATATATATACTGTATATATTTTTCACTTTTCTATGCCTTTTTATATCCATGTTTCAGTGTAGGCAATTCTGCTTTTCCTTGTAAGTATTTATAGTAGGGATGCTCAGCTTGCTACCTATCCATTACAGATCTTGGTCACAATCAGCTCCTTCAGTTGGTTGTTGGCATGACTGACATGCCAATTAAAGAGCTGGTTGCATGAAAGTGCTGACATGAACTGGATTGAAGAGGTCTGGACATGAATATCCATTATTTATCGGTATTGATCAGTGTCGTGACATATTTTAAATGGTGGAAAAGGCATCCATTTCCAGTCACTGTACATGGTTGTCCCAAGATGAGGACCTATGGTCTTTCTGTCTATTGTAATTAAACAAAGTGTAAACGAGGAAGTCTTGTGAAAAATGGTATTCTACGGTGGTGCAGAATATCCCAGGGTGTACCCTGCCTCGTGCCCATTGCTTGCTGGGATAGGCTCCAGCTCCCCCACAACCCTGTACTGGATGAAGTGGTTAGAAAGTGGATGGATGGAAACTGTCTTGACTTGAGGTTCTGCATTATTTGTTGTCGAATATTTAAATTCTGGAAACTTTCTTTCTATGAAAGATTTAGAATGAGTGTGACAGTTCAATTGTACATTGAATGAAGATATCCAACACAACCTGACGGTTTAACTTGGATACCAGACTATGTGGAATAAACATGCTAATAAACTGAATATTTTAACCCATCGCATTTTGTTGTTTGTCTAGAGCTGTTGCACCGAGAAAATATTGGTGTAAAACGTGTCGCGGAGCTAACTTGTAGGTTTTGTGAACATTATGGTGCCCTGTAGTGGTGTAATTAGAAAGGGAAATAACCTTCCTTATTCAAACCATTTAAAGCCTTTTCTGTCGGGTAGCTGATTTCAGGTTACTTCTACAAGGCTGAAATGTCCCGTTTCATATCTGGGACTAATGAAAGCCTTACCTGAACTGAACTGCCCAACCTCTAGTGACATGAACACCATAGAGGACATCACAGCCCTCCAAAGCCCAGGACTGCAGAACCCTGGGTTAACTAGATCAGTTCTTGACAGGAAACCTTCATGCTGATTAAGCACATTGGTTTGTTATTGTCAACAGGGGGACAATTGATCAAGTTCTCTAATTCTTTGGCAGCTGCTACTTGAAAGAGGCCCAGGATAGCACCAGAGGCCGTAATCCTTCAGGACCAGTTCCACAGACTTGATTTAGATTCGTTCTGCCTGTCTGTTTTGAAACGTCTCTGAATTAGTAAGCAAATATTCGTTCACTAATTAAAACGCTGTGGTGGTGAGGTCAAAGCAGAAACATGGAGGATGCAATTTAAACCACATAGGGAGATCTGTCAGTATTTTACTGCTAGTGCCTGTCTCCAGGGCATAAGTAATATAAAATCCAATCCTACGTAAGAAAATTGATATAAAAGGTATTTTTCTAACCTGGAAGGCATAACATCTTTTGTGTGGGTTTTATTGATGATTTACAGCGTGAACTCTTCTGATGTTCTCTAAATGAAATGAAACGTGTCACTAATTTCCTTGAGGTCATGCACGCTGCATTTGAAATTACTTGAACGCGACACTTCCTGTTAAGACTCCTGTACGAGTTTTTTTTTTAACTGAGGGGATTGAGAGAAACTTGACTTTTTGCTGGGGTTCAATAGCTGCTACTCAGCACGCCCTTTAAGTTGTTTTCAACAAAACCGGACGTCTGCTGCCACCTTGTGAAGACAACATTACATAACATCCCCAAATTCTGACACGTGTTTTTTGTTTTGTACCACAAACAGAATTGAAGACCGCGAACGCGGTTGTTTATTCATCCGGAGAAGGACTATTTTTCCTTCAGTTTAGCGGCTTTAACACTTCATTTGAAATTCAAACCCAATTCAGCAGCAAATGACCGCAGCCCGTTGTGCTTTCGTAAAGCACGGTGCTTCGAAATTCGCGGAGAAATTACCTCTGCAAAACGGTGTCTTGTAGTGTCTGATTTCATTGACACACTTAGAGTCTATTAATACCTCCAGCGTTCTGACGCAAAGTGCAAAATCTGAACAGGAAGAGGGCCAGAGCAATAAACCTCATGACCTGCATTTTTACCTTCTTCTTTAGAAGAGCCTTTACTTAACTGGTTCTGTTCTTTACCCCTCTGCTCTTACTGTATTCAGTGCCCCCATCTACTGTCTCCTCTCACTGTTTATTCTAATTGTGCATGTCTATTTTTTTATTGTTGTTGTCATTCTGTAAAGTGCTTTGACAAGCCACTTTAATATATAAAAATAATATATAATATATAAAATACAGCCTTGCAGCCTAACACACCAGCCACAGCATAGACGCGGATTTTGAAAACGCTGTCAACGGTTTTGTCCTTGTGCGCTTTCCGTACGGGTAGGTGCTACGTCACCAGCGCGCGGAACGTTCAATAACTGCACAGGGAAGCAGAGTGGCTGTGTCCCGGAAAACTTAAAATATCGACTATTTTTATTTAATGATCGCTGTGTCAAGCGGTGTACATAAAATTATATGTTAACACCGCCCGGTTAAACGTCAGCGAGCAAGGAAACCAGATATAACCTGGAAGTAGGGTTATAAAAGGCTTTCCGATGCTGAATTAGGAATTAAGTCGTCTTATTTTAGGTTGTTAATGTTGCTGTTGACTTGTTGAACTCCATGTGGGGATCGAAATGCCTTCTTATTTTTATTCAGAAGGCTGGTCTTCAATTTGTGGACAGACGCATTATTAACGAATTAAAACACTAGATGTGAACAGGTTAGTTCTAGTGAAACCCATGCAAGCTTCGTTTTTTTTAAACTTTAAATTAAGATACGTCTTGCGCTACACATTTATTTTTCGTTTCATAATAAGATGATGTTTATGTTTCAGACGAATCCAAAGCCAGTCCTAGCTGGCAACACTGTGGTGGAGATTCTCTGATTGCCCAGGAAACGATGCAGACAGAAGTCGACATAAAATCGCGTCAAACCTAGAAGAAAGAGACAATGGTAAGTGGAGCTGCTGTAAAACGTTGCGTATTTTCCTTTGCTTGTTGCACGGGTCTGCTGTTCTTGACGTCCAGTTCAAGCATCCCTAATCCCCAACAATCCCCAAACTATGCTGTAGCTGAAAAGGTGCCAGCGATGCCGGCCGCCTGCTTGAATTCAGAGCTCAGCTTTTATGTACAGCTGTGAAACGCTGCATTTACCCGTCTGACTCGCCCGCTCTCTGCACAGAGACGGAGCCTTGCTCCCAGTCAGCTGGCCAAGAGGAAGCAAGGAGATTCCTCTGAAGATGAGGACTGGCACCCGGAGGCGGTAAGTAATCATGACAATAATGAACTTGAACTTTATTGCCATATGTAACCGGTACATGTACTGGTACAAGGGGATTCTTACTGACAGAAAGTCTCTCGATTGTTAAAAAGTGTAAAAACACACATTTCAGACAGTGCATCAAGACAATGTACAAACACTTGACAATGTACAAGTAAACAGTTTGAATGTAAACAATGCAGACGTGTAAACAGTGACTGCAGATGTGCAATAAATAAGAAATCATGATGAGGTAGATGGTGTAGGTGTGGTCCGAGGGCCGTGGTCAGATGTGTTCGCCAATCGCACTGCTTGTGGCTAGAAGCTATTGAAGAATCTGGTGGTCAGTGGCCAGATGCTCTTGTATCTCTTGCCTGAGGACAGTGGGGTGAAGAGCTCAGGCCCGGGGTGGTGACTGTCCCCTGTGATGGCCAGAATTCTACCACGGCAGCGGTCCTCGTAGTGCTGTTTAATCTCTGTGAGACCATGGCCGAATCGGGTTCCAGGTTCGTTACCTTTCGTTACCTTTCCCGAGAGACGAACGTGACTATTCAAGGAGTGTCGTTCCGGGTGTGTGCTTGGTGTTTTTCCAGACCCCGAAGCGCAGGAGAGGTGGGAGTGTGAGTGGAAGAAGAGAGAGCTACGTCTCCCCTTTCCGTAAGCCCCTCACCCCGCTCACCAACCAGCCCGTCTGTCTGGACAGCAGCGCGCATGTGAGTTCTGCTTCTGACCTGCTGTTACAATAACCCAGTATGGACATTGTTTCCCATGGATCTCCATCATTCCTTCATTCTTTCAGCTGAAAATGTGAGGTGTTGAAAAGTGAGAACTTGTACTGTTTATGAAAGGTACACAAGCAAGTAAAGGCCAATGTACGTCTCAGCTGCAATACAGCTAATTGCAGGGATATCATAAGAATCTGCTTTTAGAAGCTTCGATGCTCCTTTCAGATATGAAAGTGAAAGGCACAGATTTCTGGCTACCTATATTTGTCACTGAGCCTTTTGTAAACTATAGTTTTGTGCCGTGATTTGAATCCTGTCAGTGATTTTAAACCATACCTGCTTCCAGGAACAATCTTTGCTCTACAATGTCGTCTTGTTGTGTATTTGCAGGAAGCCTTCATTCGCTGTATTCTCTCAAAGCCGTTTAAAGTTCCCATTCCAAATTACACTGGTGAGTTGCTTGTGTTTGTCACCGCAGGTCCTTCACCTATCATGCAGGGTGGATACTCAAATTAGTGTGATGTAATTAGTGGACTAGCTCAAGGATCTTCGTGAACTAGACTGTGGTAATTGGCTCTATTAACTATTAAGCGCCAAACAAGCCAGATCGGCCTCCTCTTACCATCATCTCTTTTGCAATTCATGAGAGATGGTGTTGCTTCACCTTAACAACACACATAAGCCCCCATGCTGACCTGGTGCTCACTCCAAGCGTTCCATGTGTTTAAGCCCAGACATTTCATCTAATGAAAAAACTTACCTGAGCATCAGTTCATTAAATCATTCCTGGCTTCACAAACTGTTTCAGAGAACTTACAGAGTAGAAGGCAACTGTGCCTTGATTGTAGCAGATGTTGCTGTGTCTCTGGCCAGCTTGAGATCGTTCCCAGCCCGTCTAGTGACTGTCCTCTCTACAGGCCCGCTTGGTATCAGAGCTCTGGGTTTGAAGCGAGCTGGAGTCCGGAAGGCACTTCATGACCCCTTTGAAGAAGGAGCGCTGGTGTTGTATGAGCCTCCCCAGCTGAGTGCTCATGAATTGATCAAGGCAGACAAGTGAGTGTAAATCTGATTTATAGGTGAAACAGCCACTCAATGCACATACGTTCCATACGTTTTACGGCCAAGAACAGAAAATGCTTTTGTTTTATTAACTACATATTGAGTGGCTAAGCATGCATTACTGTTACAGAACTCTATAAATACTTCTGTTGTAATTGATTTTACTGGTTTTCGTCTTGTTGAAACATTAAAATTTCAAAATGCATACCTTTTATTTACTTTGGATCAAGTTCAGCATCTTTCACATAAGCTGAAAAGCGTCCACTTTGCATCAGATTAATAAAACAGATCTCAGATGTAATGAATGGTAAATGAATATGTCATTTCATCAGAAATATAAGTATTGGTTGTGTTTTGTGCACAAAACTTGTTTAGTGATCAATAAAATTCAGAGGATGTCTCTTAAGTAATCAGCTGCTGTAATAGATAGTACAGCTTTCTTTGTTTTCTCACTAGGGCACAGAAGTGAATGAGTAAATTCTGGTCTGTACTTTAATTCTGTTTGCGGTTTGAGAAATGGAATTTCCATGATCATTCAATCAATGATGTGGGTGACAGTATATGTGGCAAACAACATCTTCTTTTTTTGTAATCTTTATCAACTATTCTCTTTTTTTAAAAGGGAGAAACTCCCTGTGCATGTTGTTGTGGATCCCGTGTTGAGTAAAGTGTTGAGACCCCACCAGAGAGAGGTGAGTCTGGGAACAACAGCTTATAAAAATATAGTGTTACAGGAGCACTTTGTTACCATAAATACTGTTTCTAGAAGTTTCTAATCTCAAGTGTTCGGGTTTCCAATAAAACATGGAGGTAAATATTCATCTATTGGGAAAGGCCAGCTGTTTCTGGGTACAGATATTGGCATGCTTGGATTGCTGCCTCACAGCGCTGGTCAAACAGGAAATCCATTGCTCGGGTTAAGGTCATGGGAAATCGTACTACATGCGTCAACATTCTGAAAACATAACCGTGTCAGGCTGAAAAAGATGTTATCCATCGTCTCTGGATGGTTGACAAATTTTACGACGAACGTCCCTGCCTCCCATTGAGGTTTACAGAACTCGCAGCTATAGTGGAGCACTACTAAGGGCATCCCCCGAGCTGAGCTTCAGGCTGGGAAATGTTCGTAATGGGATGTGAAAAGTATTTCGCTGAAGCAAACGCTGTGCTCCGCAGGGGGTGAAGTTCCTGTGGGACTGTGTCACGGGCAGGCGCATTCCTCAGAGCTACGGCTGCATCATGGGAGATGAGATGGGGCTGGGAAAGACCCTGCAGTGCATCGCGCTGATGTGGACCCTGCTCAGGCAGAGCCCCGACGCCAAGCCGGAGATCGACAAGGCCATCGTGGTGGCGCCCTCCAGCCTGGTGAGGAACTGGTACAACGAGGTGGGGAAGTGGCTGGCAGGGAGAATCCATCCGGTGGCCATCGACGGGGGCTCGAAAGAGGAGATCGACCGAAAACTCGGTAAGCGCCGGTCGTGATGCCAGCGTGACGCTCCACTACAGCGTCACGTTTTAAAATATCTCCCGCGTGTCGCCTTGTCTCAGCCGTGGACGTGTTCAGGCAGGGTCTGGTCAGTTCCCATCAGAGGAAGTCACAGACCTGACTGGAGTCACTCTGTTTTGAGCTCAGTTTGCCTGGTTGTAATAAAAACACTTGAGCTCACAAGTGAGATTCTTGTTTGTGATGTCTTTGAGTCAGTACTGTGCAGATATACCATATAAAACAAAACCAAATACGGTAGGCCTTGCTTTTAATTGTGTTTGATGTTCTTGTGGATTTTTTATTTATTTAGCGCAACAAATCCAAAACGTGATTTTTAAAATGCAGTGGTGCAGATCGAACCAACAAAGTCTCGTTTGTCCATTGGCAGTCCATTTCATCTCGCAGCAAGGCCTGAGGGTCCCATCTCCTATCCTGATCATTTCTTACGAGACTTTCCGTCTGCATGCTGCTGTCCTGCACAAAGGCAAGGTTGGGCTGGTCATCTGCGATGAGGTAAGGGAGTCCTCAGCTCTTCTTAGAACTGTGCAGTATCGTTCGCTTTGCACGGCTGCCACCACAGGCAGGGTTGGAAATCAATGTAATCGATTTGGTGTGTTGATTCACAGTGCGGCGTAGATCCATTGTTTTTCTTTTAACTTGTGTTTAACTACAGTTAGGCACCCTAGCATTCCTACGCACTCTCTAAAGCCAGGCGATCTGTGGACACAACTTCAAGAAGCATTCTGAAAGTATAGCAAAACTCCTATAAATGAGATGGGTGAAGACTGGACCCATTGCTTTTGAGAGAAAACTCTTCCAGGCTTGTGCACGGAGTAGTTTTCCAATGGAATGCCGCATTTGTGTAGTGCGGTTTCAGCTGTCCTTCAAGATTTTGACTTTGTCCTTTTTTCCCTTTCTAATTCTGCACGTAGTGACTCACAGATCTGCCTCTTTGCTGTCCAGGGTCACCGTCTAAAGAACTCGGAGAACCAGACGTACCAGGCTCTGAATGCCATGAGTTCCCAGCGCCGTGTCCTCATCTCTGGGACGCCTATCCAGAATGATCTGCTGGAGTACTTTAGCCTGGTGCACTTTGTGAATGCTGGTATCCTCGGTGAGAAAGCATTGGTGTTCACTCTGCTTTTCAAAAGATCATGCAGGGCCAAAGTACAGGAGAACTGTGTTGCAGCCAAATCTTTTTTTCAGGCTTTTAAAGAAGAGGAAGATGTATCCCTAAGGTGCTGCACAGAGCATCTGCTTTTGTGCTGGTCTTCCTTATAAAATACTGTTGGGGCTTAAGTAACTCACAACCTAATCGATTACCGAGACTGTGTCCATTTCAGAACATACCCAGACAAGGTTGCTTTGCTCTGTTTCTTCAGGGACTGCTCAGGAGTTTAAGAAGCGCTTTGAAATCCCCATCTTGAAGGGACGTGATGCTGATGCCAGTGACAAAGACAGGCAGTGTGGGGAGGAGAAGCTCAAAGAGCTCATCTCCATTGTCAACAGGTTGGAAGCAATTTGCAGTTCCTTGCCGTCTCTGTAGGTTGGTAACTGAATTGTCACCAGTGTCCAGTAAGAATCTTCTTCATGTTTTTTTTTTTTCAGGTGTTTAATCAGAAGGACGTCGGATATTCTTTCGAAGTACCTGCCTGTGAAGATCGAGCAGGTCGTCTGCTGCAGGTACGGGCCAAAGGCACATCCGAAAATGTCGTGCTAGGTTTGCTAGGTATTTCCTTTGTGGAAAGATCCTTGATAATCCCTGGCATATGCATTTCACTAGGCCTACAGACAACACCTTTACATAGCGAACCCGAGGCACTTAGGAGTGTGAAGATGATCGTCGTCCCTTGGGTTGCTGTTGTATCAAGTGTGGGGCTCTGTTTATCATAGGTGCCTACGCTTCAGTGGGTGCTGAACCTCCCGGGTGGGGCTGTGTAGCCTGTGATGTTTGGAAAGATGAATGGTTTGAAGGTGGGCGTGTCCGAGGAGTCGGCGTTCGGTTCCTCGATTTCCCCTCCCCGTGTGCGGCTGTAGTGTTCAGAAATGTGAGCCGGGGAGCAAAAATCATTGAACGTTGAAAGAATGTTTTTCAATTGAGGAAATGAGCTGCAGTTGTACAGGGCTCCTATAAAACGCTTCTTGTATAGGGGGTGAGACAGAGTTATTCCCTGGAGCCTGGCTCCTGTATGGGTGGCATAAAGCACAGCAGATCCGGCAGAAAAGTGAAAATTGCTTCCTCGGTAGGATTAAGGGGGCGATGCTAAACGCTACACTGTGGCCCCAGTCACCACACTGGGGCCCAGGTTTGAAACCCCGGCGTCCTGGCCAAATTTCCCATTGGCCCTTACCAATCATGGCCTCCTAATAATTCCCCTCTATGAATTGGCTTCATTACTCTCTGCTCTCCTCCCCACTGATCGCTGGTGTGTGGGGAGCGTTCTGGCGCACTATGGCTGCCGTCGCATCATCCAGGTGGGGCTGCACATTGGTGGTGGTGGAGGGGAATCCCCATTACCTGTAAAGCGCTTTGAGTGGAGTGTCCAGAAAAGCGCTATATAAGTGTAAGCAATTATTAATTATTAACATGCTGGTCCGGGGGGAACAGCGCCACCTGCTGGTACACCAATGGCAGCTTCAACCAGGTCTGGCAAGTTGGTAACCCTGATGGAATTGCGCAGTTTTATATGTTTATGTACTGTATATACGCACAAACGTGGTTTTGTGGTGATTCTGTGCGGCCAGGCTGACCCCTCTGCAGACAGAGCTGTACAAGCGGTTCCTGCAGCAGGCCAAGCCTGAGGAGGAGCTGCAGACGGGCAAGATCTCCGTGTCCTCACTGTCCTCCATAACCTCTCTGAAGAAGCTCTGCAACCGTGAGTCCCCACTGCTTACTGCTGTCTTCCTACATGGAGTTAATCTGTGGAATCTCTTTCCTAGCAGAAGCTGAATGTATGCGGCCCCACTTTTCATGTATATTCAAACATCCCAGTTTGAAAAGGAGAGGACGTTGTACAGCCAGTCTAGTTTTCAGTATATGTTAGTGGCAAATTCATTGGATGATCTCATCCAGCTGTATCTCGAAAGAAACTGTTAACTCTGTCAATGATCTGTCTTGGTAACTTGTTCCAGATTTCCACAGCTGTGGAAAAGTGCCTTAGTTTACATTTATGTCCTCTGGTCCATGTGTCTCTGTTTAACCTGAATTTCATTGAGTTGAAATAAAATAACTCACTAGGCAAGTGCACAGGTTCATATTAAAAAAGACTGCAGTGTACACATAAGCAAGCCATTGAAGAAACTTAATGGTGACTGCACAACAGAATAACTGCTGACATTGGAAACAACACGGCACAAGTTTTATTGTGTGATTAAAATTGATCAGTATATACAGTCATCTGATAACTTTATATTCCTTAGCTAAACTTTTCTGTGTAGATTTTATGGTATACATAATGTCCTTGTTGAAAAGAGAAGTTAATTTCAGAACAGGCAGAGATATTTATTCAAGACCCTTTGCTGTTTCCAGACCCGTCTCTTATCTATGACAAGTGTCTTGAAGGAGAGGAAGGCTTCGATGGTGCCCTGGAGCTGTTCCCCCCAGGGTACAGCCCTAAGGCTGTGGAGCCACAGCTCTCCGGTAAGCCAGCAGCGATCAGGTCCTGCACATCTCAGCCTCGCCTGTTCAGTAAATCAGTAACACTGGGCCAGTGCCAGTACCAGCAATACCACTGCTCTCTGGGGCTTCCATCCTGTGTGAAGTAACCTTGCGTGTACTGTCTCTTGGTTTGTGTGTATCCAGGAAAGTAAACCTCAGTCATTAAGGGATTAGAAGAAGCTTTTCTCACACTCTGGTTTCAGACTGAAATGTTTACTTATTAGTGCAACAAGAGTTCTAGACAGATGTCTGCCTGTACCTCACTGGAAGCATTTTCTTGAAAGGGCTGTGTTGTTTTTTAGGGAAGATGCTTGTGCTGGATTATATTCTGGCCATGACAAGAAGCACCACCAGCGATAAAGTGGTTCTGGTATCGAACTACACTCAGACTCTGGACCTCTTTGAGAAGCTGTGCCGATCTCGGAGGTGAGAGCAGTCAGCATCAAAGCACACCGATCGCACTATGTCAAGCGACTGCTGCGATGTTACTTAATGCTACATTCTAGGAAAAATATCAAATTAATTAATGTTTCATGTGATGTTGATGGCACTGTTTTTTCATAGCTAAATGAGTTATTGCTAATAATCCACACCGTTTCCTTTATTGTAAAACGTCCGGCCATCAGAATGATCAGTGCTTTATGAATGCAAGTAGTTTAAAGTCCCTTCTATTAGCTTTAAATCAAAAAAGGAAGTCTTTTATTACTACCTTTATATTTTGTATAAGATACACATATAAAGATCACCAGTCCTTCATTCAGTTTGGTTTATTTATGTACACGCTGGTTAAGAGATGGAATTTTTTATTTGCATTTTTAATTAGAATAGAAATAGTTCCAACACAGGGCTGTGTTTTTTTGTGTTGGACAGGTACCTCTATGTTCGATTGGATGGTACCATGTCCATTAAGAAGAGGGCGAAAATTGTGGAGAGATTCAACAGCCCCTCTGTGAGTACTGCGCAGTTGTATTGTTCTGTGACTCGTGACTGTTATACAGAGGACAAGTTGTCCTTACAGAAAGATCAATGTGAAATTAATCTATAGGCCTGCAGGATCCGACGGAACAATTTCACATCAGGACTGATGCTGGTACCAGTGCCAGTACCAGCAGGACTGGGGTGACAGGCAGAATAAAATTTTGCAGTTGAGTTCAGATGAAATCCATCTGCAGTATGAAGGCTGACCTGTGTGATTTTTTTTGTCCTTGCTTCATGAGCAGCACGCACAAGGCTCTGTTCTTCTCGTTTGCCTCCACCCAGAACCCAGAGTTCATTTTCATGCTGAGCAGCAAGGCTGGGGGCTGTGGGCTGAATCTGATCGGCGCCAACCGCCTGGTGATGTTTGACCCGGACTGGAACCCAGCGAACGACGAGCAGGCCATGGCCCGCGTGTGGCGAGACGGGCAGAAGAAGACGTGCTACATCTACAGGCTCCTCTCGGTGAGCAGAGGGAGGAGGCGTGGGGCAGGGAGCTGTTTGATGTAACCTACCATGAATGTGAATGACTGACGAGCACGCTTGAACCTGAGAAAAGCACCGCCTGCTCTTGACAACTAACAGCAGCTGACATCCCCTGGTTAACTGGTCAAATTCTCTACGTCACTGCAGGAAGCATTTTGATGTTCCATTTGTTTATTGGTTTCTCAGGGAAAGGAAAGAATATTACATGGCACCATATACAATAATGAACAAATGTGAATGATGATCATGGCTTGAAAGACCTGGTACCGAAACAAACCATGTAAATCCAACAATAATATCAAAACAAGGAATAAAGGAGTAGAAACACGGAAACCAGAGATTTAGAAGAGATAAACAAAGGAAGCCACACTCCTCATGGTCTTTCATGCGTCTGGGTCGAGCTGCAAGCTCTTAAAGAAGTTTAAAAGGGGCTGCCAGGCAGAATACAATTTTGCAGTTGAGCCACGGTCAGTTCGGCCCACCTTCCTTCTGTGATCATGTCCTCGCTGGCAAAACGGCGCCGGTGCGTTCTCGGCTGGTAGAGCCACCGAGAACAGCGCTGACGTTGGGGTGTGTGTCTGCGCAGACGGGGACGATCGAGGAGAAGATCCTCCAGCGCCAGGCCCACAAGAAGGCCCTGAGCAGCTGCGTGGTGGACGAGGAGCAGGACGTGGAGCGCCACTTCTCCCTGGAGGAGCTGCGCGAGCTCTTCTGCCTGCGCGAGGACACGGCCAGCGACA